GCTGTGGCACAGGTTGCCCAGGGAAGCTGTGGATGCCCCATCCCTGGAGGTGTTCAAGGCCAGGCTGGATGGGGCTTTGAGCAACCTGGTCTGGTGGGAGGTGTCCCTGTCCATGGCAGGGGGGTTGGAACTCGATGATCTTCAAGGTCCGTTTCCAACCTAAACCATTCTATGATTCTATGAAATAAAGAAATAAATAAATAGGATTATTTATTTATTTATTTATTTCAAACCCAAAGTATTCTTTAAAGTAAGTCTTCAGCATTCTCCCAAAGTACCCGGCAGTGTTAGGACTCTCTCCAAAGGCACCGAGCATTGCGAGAAGAAGATTAAAGCAGCAAAATCAAGAAGACAGCCAAGACGGAGCAGACAAAGTAACGCGGAAGGGGCTGTGGAGAAGGAATGGGAGAAGCTGAGGGAAGTACACAGAAAAACTAGAGTTAATGAAGAACAAATTAGGAAAAAGAGGGTAAGGCAATAGAGCAGCAGGAGAATGTTGGACGGGAGAGGGTATGTGGAGGTGGTAGCAGAGTAGGGGCAGGTGAAGGGTGAGTTGTGTTGAAGGACGGCATGTGACAGGCAATTCGGAAGGAGCACTAATTCAGTGTTTGGCAAAAAGCAGATCAAAAAAAAGTGACAGTATTTCAGTGAATCCAAAAACGTTGTTCAGATGAGAATTTTTTGGTAAAAGAAGTGAAAGACACTTAGTGTAATCAGCATAGACATCACTCCGGAAACGGGATAAAAGTAAAAAGGGTCAGTACAAAGGAAAAGAACAGCTGCAGGAAATGTTCTTTTGAGAATATGGAGTCACTGGAAATAGGAAACCGATGTTGACTGTGATTTGTACAGGTTAGGAAACTGTTGTCACGGTTCTCACAGCGAACGCGGTCCAACCAGTGGCAAGACAAAGGCTGTGAGGCGTAAATAGGAAACACAGGCTGCTTCCTATAACCTTTATTGGATATGGAGTGGGAATTTTAGTGGGAGAGCTTGAATTTTGTTAAGAGGAGATGGTGCGGGAAAGCAAGAGGCAAAGGTAACTTGTCAGCCTTGGCTGAAGACAACGTGCCAGGGGAAAGCCGGCAGCGGCGAACAAGCTGTAACAAGAACTCGTAAGAGCAAGGCTAGCAAGGGAAGAAATAACACTGAGGAAACTTCCAAAACACCATTAATGCGCACCTGAGAGGTGAGTGCTCAGTCCCCACGTGCAGAAAAGAAGGAATGGTGTTAAGAGTGACATTTAACTGCCACGGGGAAAGCAAATCTGACAGTAATGAGAAGCCGAAAGAAAGATAAAAGGTGCTTGGCTAGACTTTTCTTCCCCAGAGAAAAGCAAGGCTGTACCGAGGCAGATCTGAGTCTCAATTCCCAGAAGCATTTTGAGAGAAATTAGCTTGCTTCAGGAAAACTGAAAAAAAAAAAATAATAAAGGAGCAGCTATTCAGATGAGATAGAAATTGTAATGGCTGTCAGGAAAAGGTCAGTTTCTCTGGCTAATGCTGTGGTGCAGACTACAGAATATTTTAACTGCAGTTTCCACTTTGAATTTCACTTTATTTGCATTTCTTCTCCATAGGCGTTTTGTTAACAATGTTCAGTATCTTTAGAAATCAAAACACATTACAAACTGCAATACACAGCCAGAAACAAGACAGGTAGCATTTCATCCGGCGAAGTGCTGAAAATTTCATCAGAAACGGAGCACTCTTTGGTGAAATAAGAACAGCAGTTCAAGCTAGCTGTGCTTAAATCCTGTACACGCATTATGTTTGTACAAATTAGCAAAAAGTGAGAACCCAAGTTCAGAACTTTGTCTTCCTTTTTTTTTCAGCAAGTATAGGGACATGACTAAATGCTTCTCTTAAATATTGCAAAACCACAGTTAAAGTTCTAAATAATACACGTTGCACAACAGCCTTTTGGGGGAAAGCTACAGAAATAACTAAAGTACAGAACACATGGAAATAAATTCAGCTAGTTGAAATTCTTAATAAATTCATAAGGGCTTATCAGGACCTATTATAAAAATGCTTATTTGATCTAATAATTAAAGCACAACAGGTAAATAGGATTTTTGCTGTTGACTTGAAGTGAAGCAAGATCAGACTATTTACAGTCTTGAGGAACTGTGATTTTATTATGATATCTCTATAACACTCTTTGGGTTAAAAGCTTTAACAAACATCACGGACCACGTGATGACCAATATCACTTGAGACACTGATCAGTTTAAAGACAAATCGGAAGTAAGTAGTATATAAATAATAATGTAAAACCCAATTAAGCAAACTACATTCTCCTCCCTTTTTTTTTTTTCTCCAGAAGAATCCATTCAAAACCTGCAGGTCATATTCTTGATTAATTTCTACAGGCTTTCAAGGACTTTTATCGTAGCTATACCTTGGGCGAAGGAAGCATGAAATGAGAACAGGTGATTTAAGACAGCATTTCTTCTTGAAGCCCCTTTTGTCACTTTACGTGCCCTCGCCGCCTCATGTTTTGAGGTTCTGTCAAGAGCCTCATGGCAGGTCCATATAGAAAAGCTTCTTGATGAATGTGTCCATTGACAATAAAGAAGCTACTCCAATTAATCTAGGGGTGCAAGGAGACAGCCGATAGCAAGCAGGGTATTGTAAATTCCAAAACCTTTCTTAGTGCACACTAACTTCTTAAAGAGTTCAAGCTCTACTGAACATTGTTGATACAATCCCTTACTGCTTTAAGGCAAGAGCCTTAATAAGTTAAGGGGTAAGACACAGGACCATGTCACTGTTACCAGGATGTCTAAGGATGTAAGTGTAATTGAGAGTATAGTAACAGGAGCATTTCTAAAATTCTTCTGCTCTCCTTCAGCTTGTTTAAACATTAAGCTTGTACGCTGGATTTGCTTAATGCGTGAGTGTTGAGGGGCGGGGGAGAGAATAGGCAGTTCAGGTTTCTCTGGGAATAGCAGTGAACTGGGATAATGAAACATGTAATTAAAGTTGCACAGAAATGTCAGACCTGTGGAGATTCCCTTACAGGGTCTAGTGCTCCGCCTGTTGAACTTGGTTTTAAAAGTCCCATTAATCCCAATGGGCAAAGTATCAAATCCGTAGTGGACAAAGATCTCCATGAATCGAGGAGGATTTCACTTGATGGTATTCTACAATCTGTACAGGATGGGCTGTTTTGCTTCAGTGTTACACAGTACAAGACTCAGGGGCAAACTCAAATGGGAAAATACTGCTCATCTGCCAAGGAGAAAAAAAAAAAGTGAAATGGATTCAGGCAGGACGCTTCCTCCTTTGGCATAATTACCTCTGCAAAAGATCTGCACTGCTAACGGAGTCTCTGGCAATGAGACAAGAAAAAAAAAATGCTTATGAGTGTCGAAATAAATTTTTCCTCCCACATTTGTCTTTGTTTCTTACAGAATATCAGGAATGGTGGTGATGCCCGGAGCCAAGGGCTAAGTGGCCCCTGGTAGCTAAACCAGCATGGTGCCCAGCTCTGCTCCAGGAATGACTTCCTTGCTCCGTGCCTGAACCGAAATAAGCTCAGCTACACTTAATTGGCTTCCAGCTGGTCAGAGCTCATGTCACTGCCTCTGAGCTCTGCCCGGGGATTAACCTGTACAAGCTCAGGTCGCTCGCCCGGGACCCAGGCTCCTCCTCAGCCTGGCTGCGGCGCGGGCTGGTGTCCAGAGCTTGGGTGCCCTCCCAGGGATGCTGGAAGACGCGCAGAAGATGCGCAGAAACTCCATCTCAATGTCTCTTTTTCGTAATGTAACAGGGAGAACGCAAACTGCGTGCGGACTTTGCAGGTTAGCCACGGGACCGGTCTTGCTGTCATACCCTTAGGAACTGCAGAATAATTTTAGCAGGACATCTCAAGAAAGGGCTGAAGGTGAAAAAAATAGCTTTGGACTCTTTTGGTATTATCACATGAGATGCCATAATGTGTTTGCAACGAAGTTTGCACTTTCCACACTGGGAAAATTAGTTTTTCATGGCCTGAAATATCTGCCTATCTTTAGGCTTCCTTAAAAAATAAACGCACGAACAAGCCCTTTAAAACTTGGTGAGGAAGCAGAGTTAAGGGACTGGCTCCACCCCTGGATGAGTTAGTGATGGTTTACAAAAATCAATTGCACAAATGAGTTAAAAATAAAGCAGTGACTGGAGAAAGGATGCAAAAAAAAAAAAATAAATAGGGACTACAGGCTATTAAAAATACTTTTCCTGTCTCATAACAAGAATAGGCTAGCAGAGAACATTTGCTTAAATTCTTCGTATGAGAATGTTTATCCTTGCATTGGGATAATCCTTGTGGGGCTGATTTGGTTTGGGCCCTTAACGTGTTTAACCAGCTTTGTGTTAGTAAGAGACAAGTTATACTGGAGGCGTGTTGTTTGAGCTGCTTGCATTTTTTTCCTACTAAAAGAGATAATTTCTACTCAATTTCCAAGTGAAATATCAAATTAGATAATTAGGGAAAAACACATGTAGCAAATATAATTTAGCAAATGAGGACAGCTTTAGCAAAATATTTTTTTAAAACTTAAATATCTAAAGTTGCAGCTATTAAGTTTATCTTAGAGTACTTACAAACCAAGTAGCAGTAATAGCTCCACAATACATAGAGGGCTCTGAATAGGCAATTTGCTTTTTCTGTAAATCAGAACATTATATTTAGCACATACTGTAGTTTCCCTGTGGGTGCACAGCAATGAAAGTCAAAACAAACAGATACAAAGCATTTTTAAGCAGCGTTCAAGATGATGCATTGCTTGTTTGAAATGACACGTTTGTACATTGCAGGGTAGGGCTAGTATCCACCTCTCCTTTATAATTTGAAAGTCTGTGTTGGTTTATTTTCACTCTGCTCCATGTAAGACAGGGCTATTTTGAAGCCTTTGGAGGAAAAAAAATCACTGTAAAGTAACCATTCAGCATGAAATCTTTAAAGTGTTTGGAAAGGAAACTCAGAAGGTCTCTATCTTGAAGCCCATTTAATCATCCTTTACTTGGAACTGCTTTTAAATACTCCTCTACTGCAATGGCAGAAACTTCTCCATACCAGCTTTGAAGCCAGATGTGCTCAACATTCATTTTCATGAAGAACCACTCATAGCTGCGAGGCCACTTTCTTACCACCGGGTGCCTGGAAGGACAAAGACAAGAGAAAAAAAAATAAATTAAAAGATGTGCCAAAGCATATGCATGGTCTGCTTTTTTTCTTCAGCCTAGTGTGCTCAGCCAGGGTGAAACCTGAGATCTGAGAACCACCACCATTCACCTTTTTTGCCATCCCTTGCAGTAAGATTTATGATCTTCCATGCCCCAGTCCGGTGAGAACTGCAACAGAGCACCCCTCCTATGAGGACAGACTGAGCGAGCTGGGGTTGTTCAGCCTGGAGAAGAGAAGGCTCCAGGGAGACCTTATTGTGGCCTTCTGGTACCTAAAGGGGGCCTACAGGAGAGCTGGGGAAGGACTTTTTACTAGGGCATGTAGCGACAGGACGAGGGGGAGTGGCTTCAAACTGGAAGACAGTAGATTTAGATTAGATATCAGGAAGAATGCCCCATCCCTGGGGGTGTTCAAGGCCAGGTTGGATGGGGCTTTGAGCAATGTGGTCTAGTGGGAGGTGTCCCTGCCCATGGCAGGGGGGTTGGAACTCGATGATCTTTAAGGTCCCTTCCAACCTAAACCATTCTATGATTCTATGAAGGCAGCCAGCGAACACTGCCTTCCCTTGTTGCAGAACCCCATCTCGAGGCAGATGTTGCTTGGTCTCTAAGTGAAAAAAGCTAGGGGAGATTCTCTGAACGGGTGTCAGGGTTGTGCCTATACCTGTTCAAGGGAAAGGGTGTTCTGAAAATACTACATCTTTGGTAGCCGCTGTTGTGGTATGGCAGGAGAGCTAACAGAACTGGCTCGCAGGCAGAGCACAGCCTCTTTGAGCTGTCGCCTACTACAGCCTTCCTGTCTTGTATTTCTGTCTCATTTCTCAGGCCTGCCTTTACAGCTCGCTCAAAGAGACCCTCCCTGCCAGCAGTGCTGGGGGCAGGCATCTGGTCCCCAAGACACGGCGAGTGCATCTGCAGAGGATGCTGTGAGATGCTCAGCAGCAGTGCAGGGGTATAGCAGCTCGAGCCACGGTCTCCAGGGGAGCGCGGTGCAAGTCGAGGGCAGACCCTGCAGAGGAGATGGTTGGTTTGGCAACCTCTGACTTGAGCTGGGGTTTCCCACCATTTTCTGAGTTGTCCCTTTGAGCACCCATGACTGTGGCATTGGGACACGGCTCCATCTGCTGCCAGCATTGGATGGGGTGAGACCCAGCAGCCCTCACTGTGTCAGTCTGCATTTTGCTCCCTGACAGTGGAGCATCCACTTCTGAGGCACTGATGGACTCTGACTTGCGTAGGAATCTGATTTCTGCTGAAAATCTGAAGTCTGTAAATAAAGCTCATGTACCCATACAGCCCCCATCTATCCCGTTTTTGCTATTGATGGGACACCCGCTGACAGAGTCCCACCATAACCCCTTCCAGCAGGCCAGAGAGAATGTCACCTCTGGTCTGTTTTGGATCCCAGTTTCCCAGCAGTATTTCATTGACCAGGCAGGGTGCACCTGGAGGACCATACCCGGCAGCCGGTGTGGGAGGTGTGTGACCCAGCTACATAATGTTTGGGCTTTTCATGCTTGTTATTCTGAAGACCCACTGGAGGGCACAGGGGCACACCCTGGGTGTGTACCTGTGTGTCAGGATTGTGTTTACCTATGCTCAAAGGAGACTGTTCTGTAAGTATTATGGTGTTGGAAGCAGTTTTCGTGGTACGTCATGGGGGGTAATAAAACCCATAAACTCCATCCTGCAAACTGATGTGTAAGCCCAAAGGCAGCAAAGCTCTGCTCTGTCTCTGGGTAGGGGGCTGTGGCTGAAGAGCACTGCTTCTCCTAGGCGGGGAGGAATCATTAAAGGTAACAAATACACTCCGGATTTAGGGAATCTCTCCTCGGAGCCAGGTGAAATATTTTCATAATCCTCAGATTATAAACCACGTGCCTTACCAGAGTCCAACACTGACTAATTGCATTTCCGTACTTCATTACCTCCAGAGTTAAAAGGAGGTCGCACAGCTCTGCCTGTCGTTCCAAACCATGCAGGAGCCAATGTGCTCCATGGCTCCAAAGTTAAGACCAGGCTTGTTACTTCTCAGATTTTACCATACCAAAACGGCCGCATATTTGTCTCAAACCCGCAGGTTGCACTCTACTACATAGAGTGCCCATTACATACAGACCTGGAAAACATTGCTTGCTTGGCAAATTCCACTTCCTCCGGAGGCACCGTGACCATCTGTCCCATGAGAGTCAGCCTGGCGCACCTTGGATCCTCCGGATCAATTACATTTTTTCTGTGCACAGAGAAAAATGCTCATGTGTAAATAGCTTGGTTTCTTTGTTAAGGGTTTTGGAGATAGATGAATTCCTGCTTGCACATAAAAAGACGCAGTATTTTGTCAAGCCTTGCAGGTCTTTTCTACACCCAGCTATAACATTAGAGGGGAGGGGGCTCTTGAAGGAATACTCACCTGAAACAGATCTCTGCTTAATCTTAATTTACTCTCTTAAAAACTGGATTAATATATTTTAGATTGTAAAAAATGCGAAAATGGCAGTTTTCCCAGACATATGTACAGACCTCCATTCAGGATTCTGAAGATAAATGGTGAGATGGTTAGTCTGTTTCTATGCCTGCAAAATAAGCGTGCAATTGAGTATTTGCATGTAAAACCTTGTGCCTATCCTAGAAACTCAATCCTTGTTCATGTTTACCCATTTTTCAACTGCTTTACACCAATGAGACAAGTAAGGTCTATTAAAAAAATATTCTCCAACTGCCTTCATCCTTCAGACTGAGACAAGGAAGGTACTTGTTGCTTTTTGGCTCTTTCTGTACAGTAATAATAAATAACTCCCATTAGTAGCTGTGGGGCAATTGCTGACTCCAGCATATACAATACAAGGATATCAATCATAAGTAAATTGACCAGTTGCAGAAAAAAAGTTGTATGAAATGATTGCAAAGGCCTGATCCTGGCAAGCGCTGAGCAGCCCCAAGTTCCATTGCCAGCAGTTTGAGACTGCTCAGCATCTCACGGGACTGTCTCCCCATGTAAGAACATAAGCCCGAAAAACTACATTAGGAAACAAAGACCGTATTTCTTCTTCTCTGTGTTTTAATCTGAAGCAGCAAATCCCAGTAAATTACATCTCATCTGTGTGTGATTTTACTTAAAGATCGTGGCTTGAGCCCTTTAGCCTTAACTGTGCGCAATCTGCAATGGCTTTTTTTTTCGTTATAGTTCTCACTATGTGTCTGGGGCATGCAGGAAACATATGGGCATCCTCCTGCAGCTAATTTAACACCTGCAGATTCCCCACAGATGGTTATGAAAGACTGTGTAGCTCACTGGATGAAGTATCTGCTTTTATAGATAGGGCCATGAACGCAGATACGCAAGGAAGTATGAGGGGCTGATTGATAGTCAGTTATGCCCAGTAAGCACTTGGCACCACCTGTAGCCTGAGCTCCAAAGAGCCATTTGCAGTCACATCATCTCTGGGATGTTTTTCTGCGTCCTGTTCAGTCTGGAGCAGCAGTTGTCTGAAGAGGGTGTTCAGCTTAACGACCCCTGGACAAACTCCGCTCCCACTCTTTTCATTCTGCCACACTTTCTGCATGGGAGGATGGGCAGCTGGGTAAGGATCAAACTCAAACTTTCTGTTCATATAAATAAATAAATAATGGTGTAATTTTCTCTAGCACGTTTCTTTTTATTATGAAGTAATAAATGAATGGTGTTCCGAGTACCTGAAAATCTGCATTCCCTACCCTGGCACTGGGTTTATTTCTATCCATGTGCATTCAGAGTACAAACTTGTCCACATGGTCACCTTGGCACGCTGTAGATCCTCAACGCTAACTCCTATGGCATGTTGGAGATGCGGTTTCCATCTGGCTTACAGTGGCCTGAGAGCATCCCGTCTCTAAACAGCTCCATGCCCCGGGGACACCCATAGCTCCTGGCATTTCTTTTCCATAGGCTTTGGGTGTTGTGTGGCCATTCAGCGTGCGTGGTCCAATGAGAAGCTCACCCGCCAAAACACAAATAAATGTAAGTGAATACAGCACGTACAGCTGTGGAGAGTGGAGCTGAATCCCACAGACAAAGGGTGACAGCCGAGGGCAGTGCAGATTCACATTCTTGCAGCTGTTGGCCCTGGATAGCAGTGTCCCAAAGTCCATTTGAAGTGATCTCCTGGTCTATTGTTATCTTTTGTGCTCAATCTTAATACTGTATCAACAGCCTCTACATATACTTATATCTTTAACTTGACGATTCTTAAAAACACAGAAGAGAAGGGGCTTCTCGCTAGCAACACTTCAGTTCTGAAGATTGCTTTAAACTAATAACTGTGTATCTGTCTGTATGAAACCATTTCCTTGGCAGCCCAACAGCATCGTAAAACAGCTGAAGAGCCGGAAAAAGCAGGAGGATTCGCAAATGCCTTTCTTGGGCATAGCTCCTAGGTAAGATGTTGTTAATTACTTTTAGAAGGGAATTAGAAAGGGATTGTTGTTAAAGGATGTCTGCATTTCACAGAGTGGATCAAAGTGATAGATTTGGGCATGATCAGGAGCAGTGGGAGATTTTGGTCTGACACCTTCTCAAATTACAATTATTTGATCTTTCTGTGCAAGTACATGTTTATTCTAAAAACATACTCATTGATTCTTAGTAGGCAATAGACCTGACGTTGCTGTGGTTATGCAGTGAATCCTGCCTGCCTTTGCCGAGATGTTTTTGCCTGATAGGACTAGTGTCAGATGTGACTCTTCCCTGATGTACAGGAAAAACTCCTCTCCACATATTTGGCTGACAACAAAACCCACACACTGTACATCCGTATCTGGAATGTTTCTATTTCTGTTTTCTTTTTCCCTGGTTCCTTCTTCTGTTTGCAGTTTTCACTATGTAATTGTGAGTCAGAGTGTTACACTGATCGACTCACACAATACCATCTCCCCAGTAAAAGTTATTCAAACCGAATTTTGCATATTGGAATAACATTCTGGAGGGTCGGTTTGTTTTTCTGGGAAACGAGGCAAACAAATTATTTGTTGAGATTATGTTAGATGAAGTCTTGGAAGAGCTGAACAGGACAATGATACCTTTGATTTCAGTACGCTGTGTTATTAACTCTGTTGGCTTTGCTTTTAGCGCTGCCTCTTATCATAGGTTTTTTGTTTCAGAATAAGAACTTTGTATTCTAATCTTCCATTAGCATTAGTATTTTCTTTATCAAAGGAGCCCTTCATATTGTGAAGTAAATCTGTTTCAGCATGGTTTTTGGCATAGTATTTCCCTAATAATGTATGGTTACTTTTACACTTTTAAGCCATCAAAAATCACTAAACTTACAGCTACGACTTCTGACTCCATTGTGAGCAACAGGTCTTGAATTTTCAGCGGTGTTACCAGTGCAACTAATGTAAATGCAGGCTTTGCTTCCTAGCAGTAAAGGGATATAGCCAGGGATACATCTCATGTTTTTATTAAAGATAATAGAGGGATACCAGGGATAAATAGTTATATTTACTAAAATATTCCTCCCTCACATCTGTAGACGTCTAGCACCAGTCATTTCTTGCCTTCTGTATAAATAAACACATACTTAGCTCCCAGTCCTTGGGTTCCTTTTATCTCTGTTGGCACGAGAACAAGTAGGTGCGGAGAAGCGACTTTGTATAACATTTTTGCGCTGCTGACTGGGGCCGAGGGGGAGGCAGAGCCAGGGGAAGAGATGGTGACACTGTCTCTCTGTCCAGGAAACCTGAGGTGGCTTCTCAGTCCCTGTCTTCACCAGAATCAGGTCCTTTGTCTCCCTGGAGAGGCTATGATAAAATATGAACTGAGGGGAAGAGAAAGCAGGGAACTGTGGAAGGAGACCAAGCGATAGGGAACACATTTATTTTTTCATGCTTATGTAAAATACATACACCTTGTTGCAGAAATTGAGGGAAGCCAGATTAAAATGGAAGAAGATTCAGTTTATGTATTAAAAGAACACAGTGCATTAAGAGAGATTATCTTAATTATTCATCTGATTTGTGAAGAGAGAAGAACTGATTGTCTCCATTCGTCTGCTTATGGTGAGCAAACTAGATATGCAGAATTTGACCCAGTCCATCTCACAACTCCAAGCGTGTGAGATGAATGCATCGGCTGCATTCACTTAAAAAGGTGTGAGATTATTGATCTTAAGGAGAAGTCTGTGTCCCAGTGAGATATGTTTCCCAACAATGATGCAATGCCATGAAGCGCACCGCTGATGAACACGTCCCACTTATTTTACTCTGTACCACATCCGCACTTTCTGGGTCATGGTTCAAGAGTCGTTCAGAGTAAAGAGTTCCACCTACTCATTAAATTGTTTACTACGCTGGCCATCTCTTGGATTTTAATTAGAAGGTTCCTATACAACTACTAGCCAAGTCCAGATTTGATGAACCCATAGTTCAGGCTGATGCAGTTATATTGAGGATGATGTTGGGACTTTGTTAGGATTCCCTTTTGCAGGTGAGACCTCTGCTTTGACTGATGCTGCTCTGTCTCCTGGTTTCTGATCAAAACTATCCCTGGGGTATCGTCTTAATTCTCAGCCTCTGCAGTCCGTTAGTGAGGTGAAACAGATCTGGCACAGATCAGCAGTAAAGGCAAAACAGGGGTTTGGGAGGCACTTGGGAAGGAGAGCTAGGTGTTCCTGAGAAGGAATTGGTAGGAGGAAGGCGGGAGGGTTCAGTAATGCTCCAGGGACTGGGGGAGGAAGCAGGCGTCTAAGGAGGGGAATCTCTCTTTTTTCTTCTTCCCTAGCCTCCTTCTCCCACAGAGAAGCTGCCATCCTTCTCCTCCACTTCCCTGAGGACACAGGACCTTTCATCCTCACCGTCAGGATCCATAAATCCTCCCCATCTCCCCTGAATGCAGGTCTCCCTGCCCTATGAGAAAGCACTGCTTTTACCCCTCTATTTCTTGAGCAGAATGGAAAAGAAAAGAAATCGGGAAAGAGCTTTGTCTTATTGCAGAAAAGGAGAGCCAGAGAGCTAAGAAGAAAGCCCCAGAGAACAGGTTTTCTACACTTTTTTTCTACCTCAGAGCATGCAGCTCACGTGTGGCATAAGGGCAATAATGACTATCTCCACACATCCTGACCTTCCTACAGCGGCAGCAGAAGCCATACAAAGCCATGCAATTAGGAGGTGGTGACTGGCTGCTGGAACAGCTCATCCCTGCCACCTCCCACGGACGCAAGGTAGGCACCCTGTCACCCTGCGCTGGGCTCCTCTTCA